GTAAGCCTCTTCTCGTGCTGATTCTCTGAACATGCTCCTCCTGAACTTTGTTAATAAAACATTGTATAATTTTAGACTGTCTCGGATCTTTCCACATCCTAAAAAAACTGATATATTCATTCCTATCTGCCAAAAACATATTGAAGGGTTAATCCAGCCAAAAATGAAAATTCTCTCATTCTTTACTCACTCTATGTCAATCGAAATCTGTATGACTTTCTTTCTTTTTCCTGTAGAACACAAGAGAAGATATTTTGAAAAATGTCTCAGCATTTTTTGGTCAAACAATGAAAGTCAATGGGGTCCAAAACAACGTTATACGTATTATCAAAATATCTTACTTTCATTATATGGGCAAAAACAGTGGAAACATTTGGTGGAAGAAAGATAGTCAGAGGTTTGTAAAAACAAGATGAGTAAATGATTAATGAAATTTACATTTTTGGTTGAACAAGGAAACCCGAACTCATGAGAAAACGTAACTATTTTACGTTTTGGCAAATTGGTTGTGAATTGGTACAAATTTTTACGGTTTCGGTCTAACAATACACGTACTAAGTTGTTCCCTCGTTTTGAAACTATAACAAGGAAACAAATTAATATATTGCGCGCAAGATTTACTTAAAAGAAGTGAACAAATGATTGCATTGTGCACATGATTAACTTAAAACAAGGGAACAAATTAGTAAAACATGGAAACGCAGATTGAATAAAATTGCATGAATAAAATACGAAAACATACCAATTCGCCAAAACGTAAAATAGTTACGAATTGCCATGAAATTGCTGGAACTATTCCGTTAACTGAAATCCCAGGACTGATGGACATGTCAGATATACTGACCTCTGTGAACCAATCTACAAACTCCATCGGTTTCAAATTAATTGAGTTCAATTAATTGAAACTGAAATATCCATTTATGCATTTCACAGATATTTACATTTTACATTTAGCAGACACTTGACTTTAAAAAAAAAGAGTAATAAAAGCATTTGGTCAAAAAGCCCACAGTAATATATACAAGGCCATCATTCACTAAAATAAAAACGGTATATGCCGTACGCACATTTAGTATGTTCAGGGGTAATACTGAACTAGTGGCTTATCTTGACAGGAACAGTGGTGAAGTCATTTATCATTTTTTATACAACATTAGTACACCGTGCGCGTGGACACAGTGTACGACATGCATCGGTCCACAAATAAATAATCTTGCAGATCCGGATAACAAAGTAGTGGAAATGGCTCCTGCTCTGCAAGCAGTAATTGATTTACAGCATATTGAACCGGGCTAATTAAAGCAGCTACATCATGACCTCTGAGCACTCCTCCCTAATGAGGGAACAGTGTGCCTTCACATCTGCTCGAGGTACATTCAATTTACAGAAATTAGTTGCACTTATTAGTGGTGATTGCTAAGTTCTATAAAACCCCTTTTCCTTAGTTTTAACAAGTGAGTCCCACACTATTTAAGCTAGTCATGAGTGACACCTGAAATCGTGTGGGCTGTTTAGCCGGGGGTGTGCTGTGACTAGACGTACGATTTTTACTTGACAGGCAATAAATTAAGCATAAAATTCCAGTCGTCTTTAAATATATGAGAGATCCGAACCATAACCAGTGGGTTCCCACACCTTTAGATGGTTTTAAAATTGAATTATCTAAAATGTATACATCACTGTAGGCTTATCTTTAAGGCTGTTTGGAATGTGTAACAAAATCACTGAAAATGGAGATGTATTCAATCTCGGCTTTTAAAATATTATTGGAGAGCTTTGGGTTACTATTTGTAAATGCTTTCACTAATCCCTTTTTCTTTGTTTTATATTTAGATGTATTGTATAGTGTCTGTCTGTCTGTATGTCCTCTCGGGAGATTATTCTCATGCCAGGCTGTTGTAAATAAGAATTCGTTCTTAAGTGGCTTGCCTGGTTAAATAAAGGTTAAATAAGATAAGATAAGAACTTGAGCCAGTAAGGATCCACTTAGCAACAACTTGGCAACACCATAGCAACTATCAGATAAGTCTAGCAACCAAATAGCAATGTGTGACAACCACTTAAAATGCCACCGTTACTGTACAGCACCTTGCTGGCAAGCAAACACAAAGCACAGACAAACTTAAAGTCTCCCTGTAATAATTGTATCCCTTAAAACTCATCTTTGATCACCAAAATTACATATTTAAAAGTTTTTTTTTTCTCTTCATGCCTAAAAATAGCTTAACTGTAACTTTACACCCTTGCCTCATTTAGTATAAAAGGTTATATGAATATGCAAATTGGTCCCCACTCACTCACGGTATGTTTGAGACGTCAGAAACACCTTTTTGAGACTGTCTGTCGACTTATGAATTTGCACATGGTTTGTCTTAAAGCCCATTTAAAAAAACACAGACATATAAACAACATTAAAAACTTGATTTTCACTACAGGGTCACTTTAAGTAGGCTACTTACTTCTACCTGAGCTTAAAATTAAATTTGTTTGTGCAGTTAACCAAGGTCTTTCACCCTTTATTTGCATAGGGTGAATTTCCCTAATGTGGGACATTTTTTGCACTTGAGACATATTGCGATGTGTAACTAAAACATTAAATCCACACCCAATACCATTTAAAAAAAAAAACAGTATGTGTCCTAATCAAATCAAAAGAGAAAATTCAGATAACCCATTCATAAGAGAAATTATCGACATATTAGTGCTCTTATTGCAAGTTGTCAGAGACAATCTGCAGCTTCCTAATATGGGACAGTTGTGCCCCCAATGTGGGACACTGAAAAATCTATATATGATAAAATATCAAAAATCACATTGATACATGTAGAATAGTAAAATCTTGTTTTATTTTAGATTCTCTCTTAAATCTTAGTTAGGAATTGTCTTTGTTATAAATGAATGAAACGTAAAATAACAAAATCTTTAGTTATATTATCCACGTCCAGTTTAAACCAGATTAAACCAGTATCTCAATCAATAAACAAGACCATTATATCAGTTATAGTGATCCATGCATTTGTAAAACAACTAAAAAGTAAACAGATAAACTTTGGATTCTGAAAAAAAAGGTCATGAAAATCCTGTTTCCATTTCATCAGGTGAAACATTTTTTTCTTTAGTTAAAATTCAAATAGAATAAAACAAAATATAAAATTGTTTAAAGCATGTCCCACCACACATTTTGGACTCATTGAAGTACTGTCCCACATTAGGCTGATCATACTGTCCCGGATTTGGAAACCAAATTTCCTAATGTGGGACACAAGGAAATTTGATATAAAACATATAGTTTATACACAAAAAGTTACACTATTTTTAGATGGAAAAACATTTCATACGCATATTAGGTTAAAAAGTAGCAGGATTGCTTTGTTTAATCTATTTAATTCCTTAACATCACATAACTTTGTTAATGACTCTATGTCATTAACCTTCGGGTGGTCTTCCCAAAAGGTGTCTCCTGTTTGATGATTGCTCCAACCTCAAATATGATTGGACATTTGATAGGTCATGTGATTTTTGATCACATGACATCACAGATTTGTCTAACCCACTGTCATTCATGTATTTATGGGGGACCTACAAACACTAGACCCTAGGTGTCCCACATTAGGGCAATTCACCCTACCTAAAATTTCGAAAACCATTTTGATTATGACCGGTATCGGTACAAATGGATTCCACACGGCCCAGATTTGGGCCAGATCTGGGCCGACACTGTGTTGCTATCTGGGGAATAACTATTTTCAATTTAAAACAGCCATATTTGAGAAAAAAAGTCGAGTAGTTTGCATCACTGGATGTTACTGTCGGCCTTTTAACATTTCTTTCGCAAAACATTTGACATATTTTAAAAGTTTTCTCTATTTGCATGTTACTTCACTCTCAGTTCAACATAACTGACTGGAATTGGCTCTACTTCTGTGACTTTAAACCCCTTCTAAATAATTCTATCCATCTAAATAATTGACACTGATGAGCAGACCATAATAAAACTATTCTCCCTCAATGTCAATGCCTCAACCTAATATATTCAGATTGATTATGTAGTATTAAGTGTACATACAGATTATCTGACCATTTTGCAGTGTCATATGGTCCTAAAGAGTTTTGCACGAGCACCACTCACAATTTCAAAATAGTCCATGTTTTGTTTGTATTATATCTAACTAACAATTACTCAAACGACATGACTCTAATTTAAAAATTAAACAATGTACTAAAGGAGAGCTCGCGCGAGAATGGCACAGTCCTACCTGTTACAGTACAACTATCCTCGCGCGACCCCCCTGTTGCCATGGTAGCGTACGCCAGTCTAAAGCGCTGTGCAACTCAAGATGCTCTCGAAGCCACTCCCTGTAAACAAACGAGCGAAACCTCGAACAAACAAAGAGTCAAGGGATAAAAACCAGTTCGTCTGGAGTTGGGAAGCAGCTGTTCAACAGTAAAAAGGAATCTGTGTTATTCTAGAAAACCAACGAGTTCGGCGTGTCGTGTTGTCTTCGGGGAATAGTTAACGTTACATGATCAATGGTTTCAGGGAATCTACAAGCGTTTCAAGAAATAGTTTGTTTGTGATAGAGAGCAGCGCTATTATCGAGGTCACATTTCAGCCTCTCGAACATGTTACATCAACTGTTTATTTCCATAAAAAAAAAAAAGAAAGATGCTTCGTGCCCAATGAAACGCGGAAACGAGTGTGGAAACCAGGAAACAAATACAATAAAACCTTGGTTAAAAAGAAACAGTTTGTTGCGTTATACAAGAGTAGAACAGCAGCTGTCATGAGTTTCGTTGCAGTAATTGCGCAACCGAAGTGTAAACATCAAAAAACAGACGCGCGTTACCCATGATGTGCTGCATCTCCCAATGTGCAAAATTTGCCTTTTTACGTGCCAATAATCAATGTAAAGCAGCTTCGACCAATTCGCCCAATGACACGGCTTGCAGATGTTGTGATGTAATGAAAAAAAAATATATAAAAAATCAGTGCGACTCACGTTATTTCGTAAATCTTGCAGCGCTACACTCATCGTGCAGCATCGGCGCTCCGCACGCGACTAAGCCATCATCCCTCGCGCCTGAAACAAACATGTCCCGTGAGAGTTAAAAAAAACATCGTTCATCCATTCGCAGGTGCTATTAGATATAAAAAACAGACGTTTACCCTTCCGCTGTACGTTTTCAGAAGACAGCGCTCATAATGGGTTGCTGTGCCACCGTCAACGACCAGCAAGTCTCTGCTCTGTGTTTTACAACATAGAAAGATGTCTGTGGGAGAAAGATAGAGATCAGCCTGTGCGCTCTCTCTCTCTCCCTCTCTCTCTCTCTCTCTCTCATTCCCCCGCCCCTTTCGCTCTCATGCGCGCCGGCTACGATCTCGATCTCCTGCCGCATCTGTATGGATGGAGGTGATGCTGACGCTGTCATAAGCATCAGGAGAGATCAGCGCTAATGGCCTCTTCGTGTACTCTTAAAAAACACCTTTTCCCCTGTATATAGTTCTTGAGATGCCATATTCTTTGGATATTAACACGTCTTGACGTTACATTAGAATCTCCACTGGTTTGTGGTGCTAGGTAGTTTTCTAAAGAATTATGTTTTCTTTTTTGAAGTTATGCGAATTTATAAAGTCGATTCTATGTGTAAAACCATTTAGCTTCTACTTTAAAAATATTTAATTTATCGATCTATTGATGTATCCATCCAGCCATGATCCATCGTGTCACAGTCTCTAAAATGACATTAAAAATGCAAAAATACAACATGTAAAATACCAACATAATATATGGATATTATTTTGCTAGAAATCGATGGCATATGGTGAAAAATATTTTCAACATTTTCAACCCCCCAACTGATAAATAAATGATTGCAACACTTTAGAGACAGAATCTTAAAGTCACCAGTATTCATTAATGATTTATCCATATATTCCATACAAATATTATTTTTATCCATGTGCCTCGTAATCTTTAATCAAAATAGCTTCCCCTCTCTCTTGCAGCTCATCTCTTTTCTTCTCTGATGATGTGTTTACTGGCTTGAGGGCGGGGCAACCTGTCACTCACATGAGATCCACCAATAGTAAACCACAACCATCCAATCAATTCTCCACGGACAAAATCAAATCCCGCCTTACATTTATTTCTTGTTCGAGAAGCCGTTTCACTCGGATATGCATCACAACAGCAACTTCTGTTTCACATCAACTTTAACACTGGCCCTGGGGTTATGAGAGCCTGATCGATGGGTTCCCACGTGAAGAAACAGACATAGCTCAGCGCTGGATCTCGAAGCTGATTGAAAACATATGTTTTAAATGAGTTGAGCCTGGATAGGGTTATGTAACAGATTTGAGCCGCTCTCTCTGCTTCTCTCTCTCTCTCTCTGTCTCTCGTCTAGGAATGAATGCAAATATCTCCGCATCTTGGAGCCCACCCAACCCCTGCATTGTTTAAATGAAATGGAAACTGAAGTAAAGTTCTGGCCCAATATCATAAAGCAGATTAGACTGATTAGCTTTTACAGAGACTGAGGTTTCTCAAGTGTGTCCACCAACTTAGTTTCACCATTGTATAGATCCATCCTTACTGTCTACCACTCTTTGAAAATGGCATCCCTATATATATAATTCAACAATACGAACGCGCCTTTCTGAGGCTTGAAAGTAGTTGTGTAGGCTGTCAATAGAGACAGAAAGCTCTCAGATTTATTAAACTGTGAAAACGATAATTGCGTCGGGCTGAAACAAGCAAAAAAAAAAAAAACCCACTTGCGTTGCGCCTGGATCTCCATTGCACCGGGTTGTGTCTTACTGTACGTTCACACGGAGGTCATTAATTTTCAATGGAAGCTGGCTTTTCTCAGCTGCAAGGAGCGTCAAATCCATTGTCGTCGCGTTTTGAGCATTTTGAGCGTCAATCAGAAAGTTGAAAGAAGCTCAACTTTATGGTAATGAGCTGTGACATGGTTCAGCGGCAAAACGGCAGCAACCAATCGGAATATAGACGTCCTTCACGCTGGCTGATTCTGGAGAAACATGAATGTAAACTTTCGTTCCTACCAAAACATTAGCTCCGAGAAAATGGAAGAGAAGCTGATCATCGCCGTTGCCGTGATTCCTACTGGTTTCGTATCATTTATGACATGACGTTGTTTGCTTATAGGTATCGCATGAGCGCAACTTTTATTTGAAATATTTACGAATGCTCGTTTTAAAGCGGGAATGCAATTAAAGGGTTAGGGTCATTAATTACTCACCCCCATGCTGTACCAACCCCGTAAGACCTTCGTTCATCTTCGGGACACAAATGAAGATATTTTTTATTAAATTTGAGAGCTGTATAACTACCACATAGGCTCCTAAGGGACTGGCTCTTGACGGCCCAGAAAGTCAATGAAGAAAATGTTTAAATATTCCATGTGACTACCGTGGCTCAACTATAAGTTTATCAAGCGACGAGAATACTTTTTGTGGGAAAAAACAAACAAAAATAACGACTTTATTCGACTATTCCTTTTCTTCCTTGTTGGCCTGAAACGAGACTTCCATACGATTTCCATGACGCATGCGCGAGAATTGCGATCTCCTTTAAGTACTTCAGTTCAGTTCTCGCGCATGCGTCGTGGAAATCGTATGGAAGTCTCGATGGGGTGAGTAATTAATGACTTAATTTTCATTTTTGGGTGAACTAACCCTTTAATTTGCTCACGGTGACACCGTTTTGACTGCAATAATAATAATAATAATAATAGCTAACAATTTTTTTTCTGACCAAATGGGACCAAAACGGTTATAAAAATGCTGTCATTAAAAAAAGGTTTCTTCAATGTATTGCTTGTTTTTTTTCTTCTGTTTATTACATTTCAAGTCGTGACACTTCTATTCTCCTTGCAACGTCAGAGCGTCCAAAGCGTTAACAAGCTTCCCCGTATTTTTTGACAAGCATCCTTAACAGGGCGGCCAGAGCTTCTTTGACGCTCAAGTCGGCGGTGGTGTGAACGTACAGTTAGAGTCTTAAGGCCCGTTCACAAGAACGATAACATATAATAACGATAAAGGTATTATTCTGTTTATTATAAGCATACCCTTTAGTTTTGTCGATCTGTCACTTTAAATGCTCGAACTCGTTACAGAAGGGTGGATTCTGATTGGCTGTCAATGTTTTTATCGTTCATCTGTTGGATAAAATCGTTCTGAAAGTGATTTAAACGATATCGTTTCTCTGTCCCGTTTAGTTATAGTTGTGGTGTGAACTGCTATTTTTCGATTTTTAGAACTATTATCTTTATCGTTATCTTTAAAGTTATTGTCATTGGTGTGAATTGGCCTTGAGAGAGAATAAATACATAAGTGTTTAACATTAAAATATAGTGACATTAAACTGGAAGTATGTAGTTTCATCCACTGAAATCCATCCCAACAGCTTTTATAGGAAATCTGGATAAGGCCAACACAGTTCTGTACTTTCTCATTATATACCCAAAATATTGTTCATTTTGAAGCTAAACATATACATATTCCAAGTGTTCTAAAGCAATGCTTTTGTGAGAAATGAAAGCTTATGTAATTAATGGAAAAGTCAAATTTTCGCATTTTGTTTTCCAAGGACAAAAAGTTTAGATTGACACGAGAGTGAGTAAATGATGACATAACTGTTCCTTCATTTATAAGTCACTTTGAACATTTTTCATGTTTTTCGAAATTGGAGCACGAAAATAAACACCTCCTACCAAGGAGAAGTAGCAACAGTGAAGTCTTTATTTCAGTCTAAATGCTCTCCTGATCAATAGCTGAAGGCTGTAACTCTTGGGAGGTTTTCATGCATATATAACTCTGTTCTCAACTTTGGCCAGATGGGAAAGCAAGGTCGCGGGCAGATACGTCTGCTGATTCCCCCGTCTGCTGCCATTCTCATCTCTCACCTTGAACAACATCAAGGCCTGCCAGAAACCCAATGATCTGATGCAACTGCATACACTTACATTCTCTCCTTTCTATTTCATTTCTGTTTAGTGAAAAGTGTGATTGACTATTCATTTTCCAAGCGACACGGCGCAGAAGAGTTTCTCTGGAGAAAGCTTGGGGCGTTGTGTGAAGTGAGAAGCACTGCAGTTTGACACATTTCTTGTTCCCCTTCCAAGTTAGTTCAAGTTTGGTCTTCATTTCTGTTCGCCTTCACAATCTCTCCTGCTTATTTCTGGCTATCTCTCTTGGCCTCCTGCTCAATGATGTTTTTGTGTCCGCCTCCAACAGATTTCTGTTCACCTCCTCCCTCCTTTCTGCTAGAAGGTCAGATCTTGCCATTGGGTGAAATGAACAAGCTCTACATGTGGCCTTGTCACATTCTTAGAGGAATATTCTGGGTTCAAAACACGCTGAAGGAATTGTTTAATCCAAAAAAGGAAAGTTTGCCATTTTTTGCCAGCGTCATCATTTCTAAACTCGTCCGTTTTGTCCCATCTACACTAAAACGCCCTCTGGAGATTCAAAACGCAAAACGGAGCTGTAGCGTTTCTAAACTTCTCCATTTCCAACGCATTCTCATCCTTTAGCATCATATAGAACAACGCAGTCTCATCCCAAAAAGTCATATAACTGACGTTTTGGGACGTCTTTTGACCATACGTCAATATTCGCCTTTTTAGGGCCCCCTTAAACGTCAGTAGATGAGGTTATGGGATCCTAACTCTACCCCAGACCTAAACCTAACCCTAAACCTAACCCGTCACCTAACTGACGTTAAAGGTAAAGCGTCAGTTGTATGACGGCCCGGGATCGCCATCTACCGACGTTTAAGGGGGCCCTAAAAAGGCGGATATTGACGTATGGTCAAAATACGTCCCAAGATGTCAGTTATATGACTTTTTGGGATGAGAATGTGTTGTATAGAACGCTATATGACAAAACGGCGCTATACTACGCACATGGCACCCATTATCGTTAATATAACACGCGCTGTGATGGTTAGGTTTAGGTGTGGGGTAGGGTAGTCTCATATTACGCGAAACGATAAAGAGTGCCATGTGCGTAGTATAGCGCCGTTTTGTCACATAGCGTTCTATGTGACGCTAAAGGATGAGAACGGGCTGCCATTTCAGGTCTTCGTTTTTTCTGTTTTAGGCTGGACGGGAGGTGCAAGCGTAGCAAAAGGTCTCCGTTTTTAAACGAAAACACAGTAGTGTGTACGGGGCCTGAGAGAGTATACGTTCACACCAGAATGAACGAGTTCACAGTAACGTTCATCAGATTCAGATTACACGATTTTTTTTTTTGTCTGTTACGATAGTCACT